TCATCCTCGGTGACGAGTACGGCGCCTTCATGTTCATCAAGAAGGGTGGACCCGAACACGGCGACAAGGCACCGCCGTGCGACGACGACGACGACGGGCGGTGGCGACGACGACGACGTAAGCCACGGCGCTGCGACGGCGACGACGACGATGTACGACGGGCGATGGTGGTTGTTGTCGTCTGCGTCGTCGTCGGCAGCGGGCGCCCAGCCCCGTCGTCGCCGTCGTCGTCCAGCGCAGGCTACCCACTTGCGGCTCAACTTCGTCCCCAACCACCCCTTCAGGGAGGTAGAGATTCCGTCCAACATGCACGTGCTGCTGACGGACGGGATCAGGGACAATCTCAAGCGCTTCGCGCATCACCGCACGCCCCATGGAGCGAAGATGCAGCATGAACAGCGCCAGCGGTCGTACCACCACCATCAGCAGCAGCACTCCCAGCCCTTCTAACTAGCCTCCTCATTATCCTCCTCCCTCCTTCACGCATGTCTCCATATAGCCTGATGTTGGTGGTACGGCCGCTGGCGCTGCTCATGTTGCCAGTACATTGCTTCTGCTGGTGGTGGCTGCTTTTGCTGGAGGGCACCTGGGGCCGTCTTGGAGCCGTCTTGAAGCCGACTGAACGCGTGCTTGAGGCTGTCTTGAACCATGTCGGACTATTTCGGGGCGTCTTGGAGCCAATCGCGATCTGTCTGATGACCTCCTCGAGCCATCTTGAGCCACAAAGGGCGCTCTTTAATACCCCCGCCAACCCTCACCACCCGCACCCTCACCACCAGCGCCAGCACCAGGACCAACAGCAGCACCAGCAGCTGCAGCAACACCAACAACAGCAACACCAGCAGTAAAAACACCAGTAGTAAGCGCACCAGCAGCACCATCGCCATCAGAAGCAGCACCAGGAGCAGCAACTAGATCACCCAAAGTAGCACCAGCACCGACGCCTCGCCACACCCTCAGCCATCCATCGTCGAACCTCTCCGATGTCCATGGGAGGGGGTCGGGGGAGGGGCCAGCCGCTCCCTTGGGCAGGATGGGGGGGGGGGAAGGGGGGGTGAGAGCGTTGGCAGAGAGAACGCCAGGGTAGTTAAACCGCCTCGCCTCAGCCCAGAGGGCTGGTCGGATTACAACGTAATGTCGGCTCACATCATGGTCATGGGGTCGAAGAAGTTCTTGCGCGACCAGTTCCCCACGGTTGGCAAATCGGAGAAGGCTTTCGTCGAGACGCTCAGGCAGAAGGCGGCTGCTTCTTTCAAGAAGCAGGAGGCCGAGAAGGTGGTCTTCACGTTGGACGTGGTCCAGTCGGTGAAGCGACCCAGGTTCGGGCCTCCTCCAGGCCCGCCGGTGCTGATGAACGGCGTGGCGAAGCCGCTGGCTGGCGAGGGGGGCAGCATGTTGCCCCTGCAGGATGCGTTGCCCCAAGCGCTCGCGCCCGCTGGCGCTTCGGCTCCAGCCTCTGCCGCAGTAGCCGCCGTGGCCGCAGAGGCAGCTCTCGCGGAGGCCGAGCGCCAGGAGAAGGATGACGAGGCCGACGCGTCCGAGAACGAGGAGCGTCCCACGCCGACCGAGGAAGCGCCAACGGAGGGTGCGGACGATGCAGCACTCCTTGCAGCAGGTGCCACTCTCCTTGATGATGCCTAGGCTTGCCCGAGCGCGCATTTTGCGCATGAGACGTCGTGCCCGTGGGTCGCATGTCGCAACGGCGGCGAGGGGTGGCAGGAGTGGAGGCAAGGACGAGGACAGTGAGGAGGGGAGTGGATGATATACTTCAGCTTAGGTGGCGTATCCAGATCGTTTCTTTGACGATGTGGCCAACAGCACGGTCGTCTCTCACGTTTCAAGTTAGTTTTCAGGCCCTCGAGGAGGCCAGCGGGTGACCTGTCTCACGTCGCTGTATCCACTGACCAGATGAGGCTGGTTTTCTCTGTCGCACGTGATACAGCTTCCGACGTGGACGCAGGTAGAGCAGCGCGTGATACGCGCGTGCAGCCGCTGCCTCCAGCACATTCGCTCGCGTGCCGTGCGATGCGATCACCAGGAAATGTGACCTACGCTTGCGGACAATTGCCAGTGCTTGCACCGAAGGGGTTCCTGCGGATAACGAGACAACGTAACGAACAAAATCATGCTCGCTTCGAGCGGGGCCCGACGTCGGTTCGAGACGGGTTGATTTCGAACCGCTGATTGGGAATGAGAGTTTCGGCGCCTCGCGCACCCCCATCATGTTGAGGTGATCGGGGAAGTCGCGACAGCACGACGTCGACGACGGGTTCTCAGCTCCACTTCCTCCGTCTCCTCGTTCATCCTCCACTTTCTATTCCAACTTCACCGAGTTCCTTATCGCCGTCTCTCCCTGCCCTCGCCGCCAATTCCGCGCCCTCCATCTCCACCCTTCATGCTGTCTTAGGGGCACGGCGATTTCTCGTCGTCGTCGGTGGTCGGTCGTCGTCGGAGTTGGACGACAGGTTTTGCGCGTCCTAGGGCGCGTCGTCAACGTCGTCGTCGTCGGTCGTCGGTCGTGGTCGTCCGTCGTCCGTCGTCGTCGTCGTCGGGATGCCCCGCCGCTCCACCCCTTGGGATACCAGCATGTGAGCGATCTGAGGGCGCTCTTGAGCGCTCCAGGTGCCGTCATTTCTTGGCGCCCTCTTGGGTCATCTGAGCGGCTATCGATCTTGCTGCCTCGGATTGCCATCGAGGCAAACAAAGATAATTCAGTGTACTGATAGCGTATAATGTTTGGAACGTTTTTTTTTTTTTGTTTCTGAGGGTTCCCTCGTGGAGATCCATGGCCATCTGGAATCGTCTTGGGACAGCCTCGGGGCATTCTCTGAGCATGTCGGGAGCCACATTGATCGACCCTGCGCTATCATGGTCGATATTGGAGGACATGTTGCATTGAGCTCTCTGGTGGTTCCAGGGGGAATCCTGGGCCGTCTTGGACGTTATGACCGCGCGTGGCCTCGCCCCATCCAAGTCCAGGGGATGAGGTTGAGAGGGGCGGGGGCGCGGGGCGGCGGGTGAGGGGCGGGGCGGGGGGGGGGGGGGGGGGGGGGGGGGGGGGGGGGGGGGGGGGAGAGGGGAGGGAGGGGGCGGGAGGGTCGGGCGGACGGGCGGGGGGGACTCCTCCCCGAAGGGGAAGAACAGGGGTTTGGAAGAGAAAGCCGCATCACAGCGGGCTTGGCTCATTCTGCCACAGTCCTCGTTCTTCGGCTGCTGATCGGGCGATCCATTGTCGGACTTCTTCTTGTGACCGTGCGCCAAGGTAGTGTAATGCGCCGCCAGCTTCTCCTCACGCAAGGCCTTGTCGACCGCGCCCTCGGACCTCAGACGCTCAGCCCTGGTGCGGCTGTCCGCTGCCTCGGCGAGAAGCTCTGAATGGCGCCTGCCGCTCGCGGTCCTGGCACGGAGCTTCTTCGCCGCGCGCTCTAAGACAGAAGCCGCAACCGCCATGTCTATGTCCCGCTGACGGTTGATCTCACGGAGCCTCGAGTTATCCGCCTTCAAGCGATGGATCCGTTTGTCCAAGACGGCCTGCGACGGCCGACGCCTCGCATCCACCCTCTTCGGTGCTGCCCTCTTCGGTGGCATCGCGGCTGCTAAGTCAACTCTGACTGAAATCGATAAGAAATGAAAAAGGTCCGCCCGCCTCAGGGCGGACGCGCGGCGCTGCAACTGCTTGAGGCCTGGGCCAGAATAAACCCAGCCCGTCGTGGCCGCCGTGGCCGACTACATCCCGCAGTGGCAGCGGCAGCAGTAGGTTAGCGCTCTGACAACGAGGGCGGGTACGGCTACGACGGCAACAATAACGGCGACGACGATTACGACGACGACGATTGCCAACCAGCCCCGTGACTTCGAGCATGTTGGTGCTCGAAGTGCCGCCTCTCTTGCGGATGCCCGCGCACGCGGTGACCCGCCTCCATATTTCAGTGGCGCGCTTCAGCGCCCGTGGAGCCTTGCCAGGTCAAAATAGAAATGTTCACCGCTCGTAGCCGCTATTCTTCCGTGCTTATCGGGTGGATGCCAATCCCAGCATCATTGCATGTGCGGCGCGCCCTCACCATTCACAGAGGCGGCGCATGGAGACATCGGGGCATTGCATTGCATTCGCACCGAGGGTTTGTCTTTATTGCTTTTTGCACGGCCGCTCGGCTGGGTCTCGGATTGCCTGGGTGGGCGTGTGATCGGGCGCTCGTCTCTGGATAGCGTGGCAGAACATGTGCGATAACCCTTGCATCCTTGCTCCATCGGGCTTTCATGGCCAAGTTCCCATGTCAAATACATCCGCTTTGGACGGTCCAAGCTCCTTGTATTTCCATCTTGGCCCTCGTGACTATCAGCCTAGAGGGATCGCTGGAGGCCCATCCAGTCGTCGACCCGTCGTCGTCGTCTTCAATTGTCGATGTTGTTGGCCCCATAGGTTAGTATTCCTAAGGGGGCGGGTGTGTGTATGACCTCGGGCGTGCGGCCAGGATGGAGACAACGTATAGCGGGGGCTCCAAAAGCAGACCCTTGCGTTGAGGGTGCCCAGCAGCGAGATCGAGTCGTCGACCCGTCGTCGTTGCATGCCATTGTCGGCGCTGCTGGCCCGCTTGAAGTTTCGCGCTATTTGGAAGAGAGAGGTTTTGGAAGAGGGGGTTTTGGAAGAGAACGCGATCTAGACCATCCGTGCCCAGTGTTTTTTGGTTGGAAGAGTGGTGATTGGAAGAGAAAGGGCACGCGCTGCCCGAACACCTTGCACGTCGGAATAGCTACATGGGGCAACGGCCCACGTTGGACTCTGATCGTTGGAAGAACAACCCTGGACGTTGGACGTTGGCAGAGCTACCCTGGACGTTGGACAAGCTATCCTGGATGTAAAAGAGCCACCCTGGGCCCTGGACGTTGGAGGAGCTACCCTGGACGTGGGACGTTGGACGTCGGGGGGTGATGTTGGGGGCGTCAGCCCACCTTTGCGCACAGCGTTAGCACGTCTGGCCCGAGCAGAATTCGCTGGCACCATGACCGAGCCTGAGCGCCCGCGCAAATTGTTGGCGCCGCAGACGTACGTGAAGCTCGCTCACGACACGGCGCCCGATGGCACAGTGTCTACCTACATCCTCAACAAGATGACGATGGAGGTGGTCTGTCTGGGACAACAGGACCCGGGGCGAACGCAAGCCATTCGCTGCCGCTGGTCGCCACCGCTGCCATCCTCCCAATCCATCATCCTTGCCCTCGCCCGCTGCCGCGCGCCCGCCCATGGCGCCGAGTGCCCTCTTTTAGTTCCCATTGCCTTTCCAACCACGGCCGATTGTTGCCGCACCCCTTGTACTGCATGCCGCCACCCAGCGCACGCGGCGGATCCTGTCATCCAGCTACTTCCCGCTCATGCATTTTTTTGCCGCCGCCGCCCCGCAGGAGTGGCAGCTCGGCATCAGCGAGGATCCTGGGGAGTTTCAAGGCCTCGCGTACGTGTCGGACGGTGCGCAGACTTCGTGGACGTCAGATCTATTCCGCTTTAACGTATGGGAAGAGTTTCACGCCGTTGGCACGACCAGCACCGAGTTGTACGAGCTCGGCGAGAAGAAGTGCAACTTTGACGAGTTGCGAGCGCACTGTGATTTTGTTGACCTTCGGCTGGCGCCTCAGACTTGGGACCAGACAGGGAAGTCAGTGCGGAGTGCAGCATTCAGGTACCCCAGCCCAGTCGGTCGAGTTTGGATAGACACCGAGCATCTGTTCAAGACGTTCAAGTTTAACATACTCCACGGCAACGGCTCTGATTTCTTTCACAACAGGAAGGGGCGCATGATGACTCTGTGCAATCTGTTCATGATCGACATCGAGGCGTACAGGCCGTCGCTGTCGTACAGCTCCGCGGACGCCACGAACGACCGCGAGAGGACGGTGCCGTTCCCTTCGCTCCACATATCACTTGTGTACCTGTACTCTTTCTTCGCGGCGTTCAACAACTGCAAGTCTCGGGGCGGCGTGAGCGATCCGACGGACAAGGCTAAGTTCAGGGCAATCGTGGAGGGGATCACAGCTTGGATCAGGCCGAAGTCGAAGCTCGAGGTAAAGCTGGATGCGGATGCAGAGAGGTTGACGGGCGGTAGGTTCGCGGGCCGCAACCCTTGCACATTGCTGATCACAGAGACTGGCTTAGTCGACCTCTCGGAGTTCGCGGAAGTTCTTCGGCGGATGCAACCAGCGCTTCACGCCAAAACATTTGCCGCGTTGGCTGGGCATTACCGTTACAATGGCAAGCCGTTTATTGATTACATTACTGCCATCGTGATTGGGATCAGCCAGTCGTCTCCGAAGTTGGTCAGGGTCGTCGCAGCGCAGGTGGTTGCAGCTGCGGTCGATGAGATCGAGGCGTTCTCTACACGGAAGCTGAAGCAGTATTGCGTCGGCGGGGGGGCGACGCGCGTTCTCTCGCAGGCCGATTCCGAGACGCCGATGGAGCGCGTGGCTCAGTCTACCATCATGGATGGCAACTGGAGGCACGTCGAGCGGGAGCTCGAGCGGTACAGGCTTGCCAGCAAGGTCGCGTTCAACGACACCCAGTGCATCAGCTTGAGCGGCCCAGACGCCACGAAGATAGGTGCGGACCTGTCCGTGATGGTCGCGTTCGCCATGGACCCCGTGGCGAAGATCGTCGCTTGCATGCCGCCACAGGATCCGTGGCGGCCGCAATGGGGGGATGGAAGGTGAGGAGGGATCAATGTTAGGCTAAAGTTTCTCAACGCTTTGCGCGTCCACGCCAGCCCATCCAGGAACGAGAGACAACATGCCAACTTTGGGTGTTTTGGAAGTGCATGCGCAAAGAGCGCGGCAGCCCTTATTCTTCGATGGAGGACGATGAAGATGATGAGGAGAAGCAGGGCGATGATGGTGAATGATAAAACTGCTAACCTTGATAATGGCGAGGAGACGGTGAGAGAGGGGGGGGGGGGGGGGATGGATGCGGAATGCATGGGGGGTTGTTGGCGACGAGACGGATGAGAATGATAAGGGTGATGAGGGGAGGGGGCGGAGGAGGAGGAGGAGGGGGAGGGGTGGGGGGGAGGAGGAGCAGGAGGAGGAGGACTGCCTTGCCTATCGGAGTGTGTCTGGTGGACCTCTTGGCGGGCACGTGGGCGCGATTGAATGTGCTGGCTCACTCGGAAGGGTGGGCGCTCTTTGGGCTTCTCGGCGGGCGCCGCACATGTCCTTGCTTAAGCAGTGTGGGGTCGTAGGCTAGCGGTGCAACCAATGCGGTGCAAGCTATGTTGTGCGTGGTAGAATCCATATGCTGTGCAATCATTGGTTGGCGAGTTGCCCAAGACGCCTCCAAGGAGCCTCCAATATGGCCCAATATGCTTCCCCTGTCCCCAATGTGCATCCAAGAGGGCTCGAAGACGGCCCGATATGCCTCGATGCGAGCTTCCAAACTTGCCTGAGACGGGTCGATCGGATCCTCCTGCTCCTCCTCCTCCTCCTCCCCTTCCTCCACCGTTGCCGTTTTTTGGCTGCAGGAGACATTAGTGATTCCAGGCGCCGTCGGCGCCTCGGTGCCATCCGCGCCGTCTCCACGCGCGGTGTAGTGACGGCGCCAGCGCCGCCTACACCAGCACCTGCTCCAGCGCCTACGTCAGCACCTGCTCCAGCGCCTACGTCAGGACCGACGCAAGCTATGGGGCCCACGAGCTCGAGCAGCAACGCGAGGCATCAAGACGCATGCCATGATTGGGGCGAGTTTGCCGACGAGATAGCGCTTATTGGCTACTACGGGGCCCTCAACGCAAAGCTACATAATACTACGGGTTACTGGACCAACAGCGGCTACTGGAAGTGCGACGACGACAAGCCCATGCCCGACCAGCAGGCCGCGCCCGACGCTGGTCACCAGCAGTCCGTGCCCGACCAGCAGTCCGTGCCCGACCAGCAGCTCGCGCCCGACCAGAAGTCTGCGCGCCACAGCTCGGATAGCTTCAGATCGGACAGCAGCTCCTCGGTATCGCGCAGCAGTTCAGATGAGGATGAGGATATGGACAGCGACCATGAGCCTCAGCCAGCTGATGACGCGCCCGTGCCGCCTCCTGAAGATCAGCAGCATCAGCCAGCTGATGGTGAGCAGCATGTGCCGCCCGCTGATGGTGAGCAGCCTCTGCCTCTGCCATTCGCTCCTATTCTGTGCTATATAATCGACAATATGCCTGGTAAGCCTCTGAGCAAAGTCACTCACTACAGCAAGGGCAACAGGTTCGAGGCCGTGTGCGGGTTTCACGGTTCTCGTTGCCGTCGGGAGCGTTCAGGGAGGGGGCGCCGCTGCGTTGGCGAGCTCATCGCGTGGGTGCGCGCTGGCGCCGACGTGGATGCTGCGTCGCACGCGGGGTACGCGCCTCCCAAGGAGGTTCGCCGCGCGTGCAGGAACTGCGCAAAGCTGTCGCAGGTTGGGCAAGACCTCTTAGCTAGGGAGTGCGGGAAGGGCAACGATCCTGACAGCGAGCCCGACAGCCCGTTCTAAGTTCGGGTTGGTGGAGGAGAATGAGAAGGAACATGTAAATCAGGTTGAGGATGAGACGGGCGATGGGGGAGGAGGAGGAGGAGGAGGAGGAGGAGGAGGAGGAGGAGGGGGGGGAGGAGGAGGAGGAGGAGGATCTGAATCTGCGAATGATGAAGATACGGCAGCCGCCTGATCGGACAGGCATTTTTCCGCGCACCCGTTAGCCACTCGGTGGGTCATCCTCGCCCATGTCGGCGCAGGTCGCCCTGCGCCAGTGCACTGCTGATTCGTCACAGCCGCAGCTGTTGTAAAAAATCGTGACGCTCCGCGCATCCCCGCCATCACATCAAGGAACAATGCCCAGGGGAGTTGACGGGAGAGGTGAGGAAGCGACTCCCAGCGCGGGCAACAACGCTGAATTGGGAGATCTCTGGTAGCGACGGGTGCGGGTGCTGTTGCTGGTGCTGTTGTTGGAATTGATGGCACTGATTCTGTATTGCTGCTGCTGGTGTTGCTGGTTCTCGTGCTGCTTATGTTGCTGCTGCTTGTGCTGGCGGTGATGTTGCTGCTGGTGCTGCTACTGGTGCTATCACTGATGGTGGTGCTGGTGCTGCTGCTGCTGTTGCTGCTGGTGCTGGTGTTGCTGGTTCTCGTGCGGCTGGTTCTGCTGCTGGTAATGCTGGCGCTGCTGATTGTGA